ACATACAAATATATATATATATATATAGTATGAAACAAGATATATTTATAACATAATATTGTGTGAGTTTAACTTTGGGAAATTAAAAGACTATCTAGCAGACGTTACTTATCTTTTGATCACAGATTGTTAGAGTTAAAATAAAGTATTGATTCATTCTTATTATCTTTCTCTGATATCGTTTATTATAGTATATCTATATATCTATATATATTGTATTATTAAAATTATATATTTTGTATCAGTTATGTAACAACAAAGAAATAAATCAATTCAAATAAACGTTTTGAAACTTCTATCTTTTTTAGATAATATTATATTTAATCATAATTCCAACAGATCTTTTAATTACGATTTATTGATAAAATTATAGTTAAAATAAATTCTTTTACATACAACGTCTCTGTTTTATATTATAATTTCAAATGTAATTAAATAGATCGGTAAACAAAATAAATAAAATTAAGGGATATTCCTATGTTTACATCTCCGAGCTTCTAATTCCTAATTGAATCAATTGATCCGACTTGTAATCAGTACAGCTAAACGTTTGATTTAACCTGGGATCAAGTACAGTCGACTTAAATTAACTTAGAAATTGCGCAATGTTGCTCCAAATTTTCTCTTAATCTAACTATATATGTTACTTTCTTATCATCATATACAGCAAAATTTTATAAATTATAACAATAAATAAATTTTAATAACCGTGCAATTCTAATAACCGATCAACGTCTATAAATTGTTATGTGCAGAAACAACGCTAAAATTTGTGCAATAAATTTTATACAAACACATTCTCATTTTGCAAAACTTACATTACTAGATACAAGTACATTTCAATAAAGTGAAAAGTAGACTATTATTAAAAATTTTTCTATTTTTTATTATATTTTATTGTATTATTTGCAAAATTATATATTTTACAATAAATTGCATATTTTAGTAACTTATCGAGTAAGACTAAATTAAATTAAATTATTTTTTATTTTAATTTTATTAAAAGATTGTAGTAAAATATTAACTATATTGAACCGACAGAAGTTATGACTAACTGTAGTTATTTGAATGTTATAATTAAGTCGTTTCTCAAAATCTACGTGTAAAAACGTTCCGTCATTTTTCGTTAGATGGCGGCAGCTTGCAAGCTCTCTCTCTCTCTCTCTCTCTCTCTCTCTCTCTCTCTCTCCCTCTCTTTCGCTCTTATCCGCACTTCCGGATCGAACAAATAGCGATTAACAAGATTTTAAATAATCGATGAAGCTCCAAGTCAATCATGCATTGCCGGTATTATCGAGTCACCGATAAAATTGAATGGATCACTTTGCCTGATGGAGAACAGAGCGCTCTCTCAAGGCACGACGCGACCTCCTTTAGTGACGCCAGCTGGAATTACCGATGGATTTTCACGCAACGATGCTAGCACAAACCTAGCTTTATAGCCGTCGATATGCGAGTAAACCAACAATCGCGAAGCTCATGTAAACTTTTCTCGTTGTTGAGGTATATAGAATCATATCTTGAAAGTTTAATACATCTCTCTCTCTCTCTCTCTCTCTCTCTCTCATCTTTTATTAATCTTGAAAGAATTTGAAGAATAAGAAGTTATGTATTCAAAGAAAGCTTTATATGCTTGTATCTATCGTTGGCTACAATTCCCAACATACTATAATTTTGCATTATTCATGCATATAATCCGTTCGACGTTCACGTTCGTATTCAATCTTCAATCCAGCTCATCTGTAATCTAATTTAATAACGCAAACTTTGTAATATATTATGCCATTTTTTGCAATGTACGTATGTATATATGCAATTTTTTGCCTTATCTCCATTTCATTTTCTTCATAATGAATTAGACTATTTATTGAAGATCTACATATTATAAACATGTATATCAAATCGTAGTTTCTTTTTGACATGTCAATTATGGATCAACATTGACTATTTCCATTTTTAATAAACACGACTGTGTAGGAAAGTTATCGTGTATATGGAAATTGCTCTCGCGATATCGAAAGCACGGATATCGATCGTGACTGCTGGCGTTGACCTGCGATTTACTCTACACATGTCAGCCGTTGCGGTGTCTGCGTTTAACCGCGATGTTCAATTTGCCCCCTAGCCGAACCGCTTCCGGTTTTCGGCTAGCCGTCGCTACTTCCCAATAGTTATCGCGGTTGTGCTATTAGAAGTGTCTGATAAGCATAAAAAGCTGCTGAAAAACTGCGGAAAAACTTTCACGTAATTCTCAAGAGCAATTAATAATCATGATTTTATATGTATATTATAGCTTACAGATTAAAAATGATTGTAATATTGATTTCAACTATTTCCGATTTAAAGTAAAAAATATAAAGGTATATTTCTGTTATGCTTTTATGTTTTATTATTACGTTGTAAAAATCTATGAAATTTTTTAATTTTATTAGTTTATTTAAAAATTTCAAAATCTACTTTGTAAATATTTTAAATCAGAAACTTATAAATTCTTAAACCGTATATAAAAATTATATCCCTATCAATTCTTAACAATAATTAATTTCCATGCGTTTTACTCCAAACCAAAAAGTACCCTTTAAACAAACCTTTTAAAATAATCCGTAGAATTCGCAAAAACAAAGCGCTTTTTTGAAAAATAAAAATTATTTACAAAGTTTACATTACGTTGCATTCTCCATATCACTTGCTCTAATAATTCTTGCTGCCCCAGAGTTAAAGTTTTTCTGTAGCACGAAAATTTAATGGACCGACAAATGGTGCCGTGTTATTAAGTGATTGTCATTACTCATTTAAGATTTCCGGTAGTAGTACAATCATTTGTCGGCCAATGTATTCATTCAGGAAGCGTGTGAAACGATGACGGAACGTGGTATGTGGCAATGGGTGGTGCGACGTGTGATGATGTGTGAGCAGCGCCTGGCTGTCGTCCAGCTTTTCCGACGTGATTTACATGGCAGAACTGCGCCCGACGTCTCTTTTTCTTTCAACGGAGCGCGGCAGCATGAAAACATCCGATTTCAGCCCAATTCCGATTTTTCATAAATTTAATGCGCTCCAGATAGTTTCCGTCAGCATCAATAAAATTTTTAGAAAAAGCTGAACGTCAAAGAAACGCTCACTGTCATTTACCGAACCTAATATATTATAAACTTAAAATATTTGAGAAAAATAAAAAAATTTTACGGTCTATATTACGAAATTATGAAAAAGAACGGTGTGTAATAATATTTTTAGACATGGTTCTATTTTAACATTTAAATATTTTATAAATATGAAATATATTGTATAGTATGGATGATATGATATGCAAAAAGTAAACTACATACAAAATTAATTTAAAAATTATGCCAAGTCAAATTAAATGCAAATAGAAACATTTAGACTTTAGAAACATTCAGATATTTTTATATTGATTTTTAAAGCTTTACGGATTTTTATATATTTTTAAATCTAAAAAGTTGTGTAAAATGTAACTTTTTTTTCATATTTTAGTAAATGTACTGATAACAGGTAATGATCAGGATTAAATAATAATACTTTCTCATGCTTTTGAAACTTTACTCTTTAATCAATATTTGCGTCGGTTTAATATAATCCTATCTCATTCTGAATTAATTGAACATAAAGCTGTTACTACGGGTCATGTGCAAACTGTAGAACGGATGTATTTTATGCATTTTCATCCATCAAAACCCACAATGATTGAAATGCTTGTACTTCATTTCCATCCACTTTATGTTTTATGGAATTGACACAAAGTTTCCAACGTTAAAATATTCAGTGCAAATATCAATGTTATGAATTTTCAAAAAAAGAATAAAAATTATACCGTGGTATAAACTCATTTCTATGCTAATTTGTTAAAATTATAAATACCGACTGTACATAAGTACATTTATATAATACATGCAAAAATTTTTACATTGCATCATTGCATGTATTTTAAATTAAGATTATATTATCTTACATGTTACCTCTTTACACGTTTGGCTTTTGCTTTCTAATTATTTCGCATTACTCGGCATTTTCTACGTTATTTTGCTGTAATAGGTACTGTAATATAGTAAAGAGAAAAAATACAAAATAAATTTCTATTTCGTGTAAAATAGAAATTTATTCCTTAGTCACGTTAGAGCTATAAATTATAATCTTTATTTAGTGTTCATTCAAGCTTTGCGAAAAAGTAATTACATAAATCGTCAAAAGGATAAATCCAAGTCATTTTACATTTCTGCTTTGCATTCGTTTGACAACAGAGAATCTCTTTATCACAAGACTAAAATGCTGATTTGTACCTAACGGATACAAAGAACGGTACTAGTAAAAGGAGTATAATCCAACGTTCAGATTTTGTTTGATAAAGACCAAGCCCCATAAAAGCCTTCATATCTCCGAGCCGAATATTGATCTGAGACTTTCTATTCTCTTCGTGAATTTGCTACAATTCCAAAAAATCTCAGAATTTCGTCATTTTGCAGGTAAATCCTTCCCATGATCGCAAAGATGAAAAGTTAATAACGTTTGAAATCTTTTTCATCATTCGAAACTCTCTTTAAAACGTTTTACAATCTTCTCACTTGCAAATCAGAATTTAATGTACGACTTATATACGCTTTTCATAAAATTAAGCACTAAATATCTGCATACCAAATGTTAGTGAGAACAAAGTTCCGGAATTTTTGCATGTATTATTCATTTACTAGGAATTAAGAATGCAGATTTTTTTTTCATACGTATATTGCATTTCCGATGCAAAAATGTCACAACTGTGTTTCGCAAAAAAATAAACACCGACTGTATATTAAAAATTAAAATACAAGTACATATTTAAAAAACACTGTTAATTTATTAATTTTATTTTAATTAATTTTATATAATGTAAAATACCTTCCTGTTAATACAATATTTATGTACATATAATATCCAATGTGATGGAATGTGTAATAATAGTAATATGTAGCTAACAATGCTATCAATCAAATGAAAATAATACTCACCAGTTGGACTAGGTGTAAGTTCCTTCATCGCTATCTTGACATGAAGATCATATCGCTGGAAAAGCCCTAGCCTTGGACCCCTCGTACTTCTCTGCAGCGTGTTAATAGCAGTAGTGACTGCTCTGGTGTACTCTCTCACGCCGAAGGATTTGTACGGTACCATCATGCCCACCTGTTACACAAATATGATGGAGGAAATATGAAATTTTAGTAAGGCGCGTGTTACGTTGTCTTACAGACGTGCATCATGCGTTCCGGATGGTGCGGAAACGAATAACGTCCGTCAGGTGATAAATCATTCTCACTCCGTCAAACGGTGAGAAAGATCGTCAACAGGTTGTACAAAACGATATTTCGCCAAGTTTCGACCGAGACGTGGCAGTTGACGCGGCCACTACGTTACAAATGGCCCGAGTTTAGAAACGAGTATTATTGTACAGAATACAATCACTCGTAACATGTACGATTGCGTTGAGAAATACATCCATTACGTACATGTCATATTATTTTACTTTATTATCATTATTGCTACATTATGCCGGATATTTTGCAATTCTTCTCTTTATTGCATTTTCCTCAATTTATGTTAATTTAACATTCGATCAAATTGGACTGTTTAATCCTATTAAATATTGACTGAACTCATAATCACAATGATAAATTATTTTTTATTCATACTCTTCACATCAAAGAATTTGTATATCATGTTAATTACACAAAATATAAAAGAGAAAATATAAAATTTCGATTAATTTTGATTTAATCAAATTAAATTATTCTCTATGCCAATTCGTGCACCTTTTCTTCTAAATTTAAAAAAATTTTAAATATTTAATAATGCTATGACAGTAGAAATTTTAAGCATGTACTCATACTTTTATCGAAGAGAGTAACGCTTTCAAATATAAAAATTTCTTTATTATATGAAATCAGAATTCATTTAAAATGCAACACAACTATCAATGATAGATATACCATATATTAAAATATTTAAATAAGAATATATCTAAATTTAAAAAAATTCTGAAAAAATAAATATAATATTAGGAATATATAGGTAGACCGAGGCACCATGAGTTACAAAAATTCAAACAGTAAAAAATATATTAAAATATAGAATTTTTGGTTTCAATTTTTTTATATAATTAAGGGATAATGTATATTTTAGGGTTTATTGAGCATTTTTCATAAATATTGATTTGTTTTTTAAATAAAAATCGAAAAAGAAATTTTTAGAAATGGCCTATAGTACCCCATACCTGGAGTATTAAACATTCTGGATTTTCCTAAACAGTCAATGATCCATGATACCCTATGGAGCCCCGGTCTCCCCTATAGATTACATATTTATATCTAAAAATAAGTACAAATATTATATATTATAATTTTTAATAGATTGTACAGTTCTGTCATTATACTATCAAATTATTTAATTAGGAGAAACCAATATTTCCTCTGTCCATATATCTTATTATATTTTATAAATTATGATGCTAATACGTAATTATTCAGCTTAATAACGCTTTATTAATATTAAGAACAGACTGTTACAATTTTCACTTGCCACACCGCATCACGATCGACAATGCATTAGGTGTTTAAAGCGATCAGAAAAGTGCAGCAAGGGGGCATCTTGTTCACTTTATTACCACAAGAATAGACCGGTGCGCACCTGTTGCATAAATCGATCGAAGTGAATGAATACCTACGTGTAGGCTTAGACTGGACAGCGGCTTACATTTCGGTCTATCAGTAATATCAATAATGCCTTTTAGCAAAAGACCGATTACTTTAAACTCTTTAAAGTGGTCTTTTAAAAGGAAAGAGATGCATCATTTTTCCTCAACAATCAAAATTTTGGTTTTTGGCACAATATCATTCCATAATTTTAAAATGTATAATACAATCATAGAAGATTTCGTTTTAATGTAAAATTTTCAATCTATATAAGAGCAAAGAAATAAAATACTAGATCTTCCATTATCAGTATAATTTATTTTATTTGAAAATAAAATAATTTTATCTAAATATATCAAATTTCAACGAATATTATTAATATCGTTTCTTAGACTAATACAAAATATATTAGTATTGTATATGTGTGTTCGATAGGTATTGTTTTTATCAATAATTTATACATATCTGTGATAAAAAATGTTAATAAATTAATAATATAATTGAATTATAGACTCTTATATGTTATCTGTGATAACATGTTATCTGTGTTATATGTTATCTGTGATATCTGTGATAGATGTAAAAATATTTTAGAAAATCTATAATTTGTAATTCTTTATTTTAAGCATTTAGAGAATTAAAAACATGTTCTAAAAATATTTTCATTCATGAAATCGCCTCTTGTAACATTAAATTGAGAAAAATTATATTATAATAAGTATTCTCTCAAATATCGTTTGTACAATGGATTTAATTCGAAGAAGTGACGTGTAATCCATCGATTATTGGTAACGAATCGTACCACTGATCGTATATTTATCTACTTTAATTATCCACTCTATCCCAAAGTACAGATGGTACTTGTGCTACAATTCGTATAAATGGAGATAAGGATCTATAAATTGATTCATTGTGCATGAGTTTGAAAAATCAAGAAAAAATTCATGAACCCGTTGAAAATGAATGGTTTCCTAAAAATTTCAAGTTGTTTAAGTACGAATAATGCTGAGGTAACTATCCTTGAATAATGTAAGTTATTAACTCAATGAATTCATTAACATTCATTAAAGATGATTATCTCCACGTCGAATATTCCCAAAACGTTAAAAACTTTTCGTCAACTGCATTTAAATGAAGCTGACAGCACAAAGAGTATAATTTACGCAAAAAATATGACTTAGTTAAGTACTCAGATCGTATAAAATATTTTATATAAGGAATATATAATTAATGATCCATTAATAAAATTAAAAAAATTATATGATATATATATATAAATTGATTACTGCAGTTACAAAAAAAAACACAAAAAAAGATTTGTGCAAGATATAACAAATATATTGTATTATGTATTATATAGTTTCTATATGTTTCTTATAATGTTAGAAATTAAATATATACTTTCTTTTAATATAGTTGACCGATAATTTCAATTACATTATTTATTGTATCTTTTAATTAAAAATTATCTCTAAAACAATATATAATTTATTGGCTACTAAATAATTTATTTATTTTTAAATATAATTGTTTTACAGTTCGATAAATTTTTCTTAACATACAAAACAAGTTTTCTCATTTTATCAATAAAATATTCATGCAGCTTTTTCGATCTGCCCTCGTAAATAGACTTTTTAATGAAATGCAACACAAATTCACATTAAAAACATACTTTAAATTTTTTATATTAAGAATACGAAATGTTCTTCTCTATAAGAAATATTTTGACTTTAAGGAATGATGGACTTTTTTTACCTTTTTATAAACATTAATTTTTTTACCAAATCCATTTTAGAGGAAAATCATTACCTTGAGATCGGTGATGTTATAATTATTCCCAACAGAAGACTGCGGTGTGAAACGCGTAGGGCTAGTCGTGGTGGTTGTGGTAGTCGGAAATGATCGCTGCCTCGTTGAGTTCGATAGCCTTCCTTCACCGATACGAACTGCTGAATTGCCTCTGCCTACGTTTACGCCCTTGGAAACTGTTCCCCTGTTTCCGATTTTGATACCTCCTTCTCTAACAGTGTTACCCGGTGGACTACCTAGCACCAACAACGGTGACATCACCAACGAGAGGATCCACGCAGTCCTCATGGCGTGGAAGTTGTTCGAAGCGACGATCGTTTTTGTCACGAGACGGCGATCTGTCGATGATTGATTCGATTGTATACCGCTTTTTCGTGCTATCTTGACACTGCGCTTCCATTCAAAATACCGACGAATTCTTTAGCGTCGCGACGACGCAATGCAATTGCATGCACGCGCATTTCTGCTGCCGTAATGTCGTCTCATCGCGATCTGATGTACCTAAAATTTAACAATTTAAAATTTGTTAATATCAAATAAGTAATAATTCAAGTGTAAAATTTACGAAAAAGTTAAAAAAAGGTTCTGTTAATCTCGGATAATTATAATTCTTATTAAAAATTAAAATTTTTTAATATACATACATATATTGCATTTAATATTTTATTTTTAACTACCTACATATAATTTTAGTTACTGCACATGTCCTGCTGTCTTAAATTTTTAATGAAATCATTATCCCCTCGAGATAGAAGCAAAAAATGTGTAAATACTTAATTTATGGTACGTCAATAAATATAAGACATGTCGAAATAATCCTTAATATTTCTTACTAAAGCTTTAGCTGAGAAGGTCTTTAATTTAATTGCCCTAATTTGCCGCTGAAGCAAATACAGTTCATTCGAAGGTTAATTCCCTTTAATTCCTCGGTTCGCTTCACCTCTTTTGTGCTATTATCTAAATCGGGAGTTACAGTTCAGTCTATAGAATACGTCTTTGACCGGTGAACTTTATATATGTATGTATATGATAAGGCTTTGTTTTAGGGAGAATTGCGTATGGATCAATCAAAGGAATAGACGGCTGTATATAATGGTCAATTTCCCGTAGGATTAGTCAGACAGTTTGATCGGTCATCGCTACCTGTCATCGTACACATATGTGAAATGCTCTATCTGACAGATCGAGTCTATCACGAATCGAGTCTGCACGTTGATACCGTAAATCTGTAAAGTCTAATCGGATAAATTTCAATTTCATGAACTTGCAGCTTCGATATACATATTTCGTTTCAATGGATTAAAAATAATCTAACTTAAATCTTTCGAGTTACAGCAAAAAAAAATATATATATATTATCGCAAACCATTGCTATTTATTTAAAATATTTTATAATACTAGACGATGTGTAAATTTAAACATCATGTCATATTTTTTAAGAGAGACACGCGGTAAAAAAAAATGCTAATACTAGGGTACAATATGTTAACAAATTGACTGATTAAAATTTACATACAGGTAATTGTGGCAAAGTATAGTATAATATAAAAGAGTGACATATGGAAATTAATAAGCATACAATTAACATAATACTTGGTTAATTTTAAATAAAATAACAAAACGTCTCATTTGAATTATCATAAGATATACGACCTAAACCATACTTTTTATTAAGTTATCAAGAATTATTCAGGTCAATAAAAATTACCATTGCAGAAAAAAATTTTCTAAAATCAATAGAAAAAAGATACATATTTTGTTTACAATTATGTATAAATAATTATATATAAGTATATGTTACAATAATATAAAATATATGTTTTATCTTATTTTATTATAATAAAAAAATAAAATATTTATTTTGTAAGGAAATACTAAAAATTATATTAAGTACAAATCAATTTTATTCAAAACTTGAAGCTTGAATGTTGTTTCAGAGCACATAAAAGAGATACATATTTTCTTATGAAAATATGATATAGATTGATATATCCAGAAATAGAGCAGCGAGCTTCATGTTCAAATATAATCCTTGTATCGAACTTTAAAGAATTTCAAATAGAATGTTTAACATTCAAGAGTCTTTCTTCGGTTTCAGAAATGTTTCGATCTGATTTTTCGGACTTTAGTAGAATACTTTGGTCTTCTAAAGAATGAGCTTTCAACGAACGAAACTTCTGGTTTTACATATGTTCAGCGACCAATCGACAATAACTAAAAGAAAAAACCTTTTGAGTCAGTAATATTTAAAAGAAAAAAAGCTTTCGCTTTTGAAGAAAATGTAGTTGATGAAAATATAAAATATCAAATTAGATTCAATCAATTTTTATTACCTAAATAATTTTAACCATACATATAACATATAGATATATATTGCCAATTATAAGCAATTACATTTTACGTAAACTGTGTGTTTAAATATTTTTTTATTAAATTAAGTTTTAGTCAAATACAACTTTAAAATATTATGTTATTGTATTAAAAAAAAATAAAAAAGTTTTCTTGATTTTTTTTTTTAGTTTATATTTCATAAACTTTGCAACTTTGATGTTAACATTAGATATAAAATGTTCATGATTTTTATAGATTTTAAATTATTTTAAACAAAATTATTTTAAACAAAAATGGAGTTCCTATAAAATTGAATGCTTATTTACCTCAATTGTTCAAGTATGTCAATCGTGTTAAATAGAAGTTTACCAACTTTTGCAAGATTTTCTATTCTAAAGTAGGTTCCTATTTTATGGCGTGAAAGCTTTTCACGGCTTTCCTTTCGTAACATAAAACGTAGATATTGGTCCTTTCACGTTACGGTCGCCTACTTTTCTAAGTTTCATCGAACTTCAATCATTCAATTTCCAATAACAAATCTAAACAGGATTGTATTATATCTAGAGTAAATATATGTATGAAACTAATTGCAAGAGATAACTTTTTTATATAATTTTTACATTTTTCAGTTTGGATATTCTATAAAAACATGTAAAAATATATACGAAACATTATGATTTAAGTGATCTTTCATTAACCGGCACATAAACTTGTTCCATAGAAAATATGTGATGCGTTGTCGATAACGAAAATGATATATTGCCGATATTTCCTGCTTTATTTCTCGATTGTCGGACCTGCATTCAAAATGACGTTTGTTTCAACTTTGACATGCTGGCAGCTTTTTCATTATTGCAATGTTTCTACTATGCAGACACTCGTCGGTTCCAACTGTAATTTATATTTTGAACACGTATGATATAATGCTATACATGACGATCGGTATTTTTAAACGCGTTTAGTTATCTTTCTCGGGACTGCTATTAATCATTGACATGGTAATAGAGTGATTTGCATAGAAATCGTAATAATAGAAGCATTATGCGTATTAACATCACATGCGAATTCGATTTGTAATTTACGAATAATGCGCTTGACTTTACATGCAAACAATTTTAATCCGAAGCTAGATTATACATTCAAATGTAAAATGTAAAACGTAGACGCGACTGGTACAAATTCAATCGCAACGTATTGCATTACATTTCCTACTTGATAACAATAATTTTTATACCGGTATAATGCAAATGCAATGTACAAATGCCTTATAGCGACAAATGTGATTTCTTTTAACTATTGTCAAATTTGAATAATAAATTATCTCCGTAAAATTTTGCTTCACATAGAATTTAAAAGTTTTTTGAAACTATTATATTGTTTAACTGTAGATATATTATATAGGTATAGCAATTTTATTATTAATATATTAAATCTTATAGGACCGTACATGTGAGAAACACAACTAATAAGAAATTGTCTTTAACGGTCAAGCTGAATCTTAGATGCTAATAATAATTCTGTTTATATATTATGTACTATATGTAGTCTTTTAAACCCCGCGCCGAACAATTTTTCGGTCTTAAAACTCTACGAAACTACAGCAATAATATCACGAGTTAAATTATCTAGCAATTTAACAATTTTGATGTTCATAGTACTGGATCTTAATAATGTTGAACGACATATTAAAATCTATGAATGAAAATCTGTAAATAATTAATTTATATTTCAAAAAATATTACCTCGACCAAGAGTTCCGTGCGATATTCGGGTTCGACTAATTTACATGTATTTATTAATTCTTAGTCGAATAGAAAGTTTACTCTGATGTAACAAATTTATATGTTAGATAAATCAAATTACTTAAATCCCAAGAACTTCCAAGGACTTAAATAGCTAAAGATAAAAGGATTTAGTTCTTATTCTATACAAGTAATTGGTTAGCAATTTGGGAGTTGAATGGAAGTAGACAACGTAGTGACAGTTACGGTATCTCACAACATAAATTCTTCCTTAACTTTTTACGAGATACTTTTATCTTGTCAGGTTTATCTGAGTTTATTGTGAAGGTTTATTTCATTCTTTCTTTTTTCTTTCTCGAGTTTCTTCGAAAGGCGATTTTCGAAGTCAAATATTTGTTTTAGATCGTGATACAAGAACGTCTAATGATCCTCACTTACAAGATTGAGCTTTTTTGTGTTAAAATTTTAAACATGCTATTTTGAAATACGTTAGCTATTTCTGTTATAAATGTATTACAATTGAAGAGGAAATCGTCATTTGTAGAATTTAAAAAGTCCTTATTCCTTATGGCAATTGAATAACTAGCGTGCGCATCATAAGTATATAATAATATATGAGAGAGGTGTAACACAAGTCAGAGGCCTAACGTAAAAAGAAGATAAAGAAGGAAAAACATTTGAGAACTGAATTTCAAAAATTTTGTGCAAGTTGTTTTATACATTTATAATAAAGTATTATTATTAAAATAAAAGTAATTATAAAGCTCTCTCTCAATATGTATAAAACAGTATAAATATAAAAAGAGCAACAAGCCAAGTAAATTATTGACGTAAGCTCGATAACTAATATGAATTATAATCAAGACAGAATGATATCTTTACTTTTATAATGCTATGTAATCGAATCCTTCACAATATAAATATTTACGAAATGTTCAGCATCTCAGCAGGCAATCGACGAGTCGA